GTGGGGCAGGTCAATACTGTTTCTGTGCTGCGGGTCAATACTGTTTCTGTGGGGCAGGCCAATACTGTTTCTGTGCTGCAGGCCAATACTGTTTCTGTGGGGCAGGTCAATGCTGCATGAAAGCTTCTTCAGTAATAGCCCTCAGTTTCATTACCTCTCCTGACAACGGCAAGGATAGAAAGTACATTAAGATCACAGTCACCTCCACATCACATATTATCCTGACTTGGAAATATAATTGCCATTGCTTCATTGTCACTCAATCACAGGAACTCCCTCCCCAACAGCACAGTGGGAGCACCTTTTCCACATGGACTACAGCAGTTCGAGAACGTGTCCTCCTGCCACTTTCCCAGAGGAAACTGCTACTGGGCAATAAATACCAGCCTTCCCAGTGATGCCAAGATCCAGAAAATGAGCAAAAGAAATTCCTGTTTCTTACCTCTGTATCAACACGATCACCAACATTTTGGAGTATTGCAATAATTTTGGAAATGGAGTTGTCTACTGTTAGAAAGAAAAAAAAGCAGATGTCACTAAGACCAGTCCAGGTGATGTGGGTAAAGAGCCTGGGATTACTCAAAATCTCAGGCCTGTTTGCTCCCACCCTTCCCGGTGTCCATCTTGTGAGCTGTTTTACCCAATAATTAATGGAAAAGTTTCTTTTTTGCATTCTCTTTTAGTAAATAATATCATTTAAAGGTTGAAGGAGATGAAATCTCCTGTGTTAATGAAATTCCAGGATTGAAATGTTAGCCAACAATGTGAGTTACACTCCGAGAGCTGTGTTTATCATCACTCTTGGGGCAAAGCAAGGAGGTAGGCTCCAGGGATAAGCTCAGCCAGTGCAGAGATTGAACCAGTGTAACTGTGTTAGCTAACAGGAGCCCATAGTATACCTTCAGTTTCAGCATGTCTTTGTTCACCTTTATCAAATACTTTTCAAACCAGCAGGGTAACGGTGAGGGCTCTGTGGTTCTCTGAATATATTCTATCTCTTTGTAAATGTAGCTAGGATATTAGTTGAAGGATAAACATTGGACAGACCACAGGCACTAAGGGACTGGCTTTTTGACTTGTGCTTTCGATCATTACATCCACTCAGTCAGGAAGTGGGGTCTTGATTTAACATTTCAACCAAAAGGCAACACCTCCAACAGCGCAGCCCTCCCTCTGTACTGCATTGGAGTATCCGCCTGGAGTTCTACTCCAGTCCTGGAGTGGGACTTCCCCAGAGCACATGACTGAAAGGTGAGAGTTGAATGAGACAGACCTGTTATGAAGGAACATGACAGATCAAAGGAAAAGGATATTGTCACCTGTGTGTTGAAAGCACTGTGGTACCTGGAAAGCGTTCTCTATTTGATTTTTATCAATAGTGTGGGTCAAATTAATACTGACTTTCAGCTGGAAGTGCCTTTATGGACATGCATTGACTCAGAGCCTGGGACACGTTTTGGAGTGGGGGAGTGGTACACTGGGGGCCTAATATCTGGGTGCTAGAGCTCTAGGGGACTCCCTGTGCTTAGGTGCAGTGTCAGACTGCTGTGCTACAGTAGGTGTGGGACCATTGTGTTCAGGTCAAGGGTCAGGAGCCAGGGATCCAGGGATCCAGGGGTCTGGGTCAGGAGCAGCGCTGGGGCCTGTGATTTTTCTCCTTTGTCTGAGAGCAGTCAATGCACAAATCTGACCAGCAAGTCCACATTTTCAAAGCTTTTGTTAATGTTCCTACCGTACTCAGAAGTTAATTCAGTAACTGGGCAGACTGTTTGGGAATGGGTCAATGAATTGTTATCCCATTTAGAGCTGGTTATGACTCTGTTTTATATTGCACAGAGGGAGCCTTTCCCCAAGTTGTAGATTTGGATGAATGAACCACTTAGATGGTACAAAGTAGAGGTTCGATGCAGCAATGGGCTAAATACACGATGGCCGTTAATGCATCATGTACACTCACCAGATTCTCTTGGCCCATCTGTTTCTAATTCTTCGACTGAGTGCGTTTCCTTCAGACAATTCTCTTTGCCTTGGCTGGAGTCAAGAGTTCGAACTATCCGCTCCACTTCCTCGGACACCTGCTCATACACAGACTCAGAGCCGCGAGCTACAACAGAACACACAGAGGGTACACTCGAGTCTCAAGGTGGCTTCCCAAGTGATAGAAAACAGTGTGAAAGGCTCAACTACAAGCTGCAGGAGGATCTCAGTGCACAATTCCTGCTGTCTTTCAGATTGGATGTCACTGACAAGCAAAGATGCAAAACATCATTTACAGAGGTGCAACACACTATTGAATATTTAGAACCTACGCTTTCTCACATCAGGAAGCATTTAGTTTCATAATAAGTGTGAGCAGCTGAGCTCTGAACATTTGTACGGTTTACAGCAGATTTTGTGAGATTTAGTTAAAATAAAAGGATCCACCCACTTCAGCGTATGTGTTAAACTTGATAATAATCCACCACCAACTCCATCTTTCAAACTCCTGCCCCAGCCCCAAACTCCCTTTCCTTACCAAAATCCCGAATGTGTTGTTGTCTCCCAAACCATTCCCATCTTTCCTGGAATTCCAAGTTTGAATGCCCTCAGTCTGGTTTCTGCTGCTGCCACAGTGTGTAGACAGCTCTCCTCTGGCCATTTCACAAATGTGTGAATGTGATTGAGGTAACATGCCCTCCTTGTACTTCTCGATCTGCCTCCAGCAGAGCTGAACACTCCATCCTCCAGTGCCTGCCCCCTCCCATTCAGATGTTTGGGACAGCTCTCGTCCAACTCTCCTCTTCTTTATCTAATCATAGTAAGAGATTTTTGTTTCCTGCCCCTACACCATTACCTCTGGCTGTTCCCCCAAGGACATCTTCTTGGCCACCCAACCTTACCTCTCAACTACATGCTGCCCCTTAGCAAATTGGTCGAAAAAGATGTTACAAGTTTCTGTGTGACAGCACCTAGCTCTCCTGCACCACTAACCTTCTCATAGAGAGATAGAACCATTCAGGCACAGAATGAGGTCGCTGCCCATTAAGTCAATGCCAGCTCTCTGTAGATTAATCCAATCAACTCGATTCACCCACTCCATCCCCTAGCTCTGGAGGTTCATTTCGCCAGAAAAGGGCCAGGAAAGCAAAATTATGGGCAACAAAAACAGAAATTGCTGGAAAAGCTCAGCAGATCTGGCAGCTTCTGTGGAGAGAAATCAGAGTTAATGTTTCGGGTTAAGCGACCCTTCCTCAGAACTGAGGAAGCTCTGAACTCAGAACCCAGTTCTGAGGAAGGGTCACAAAACCCAAAATGTTAACTCTGATTTCTCTCCACAGTAACTGCCAGATCTGCTGAGCTTTTCCAGCAACTTCTGTTTTTGTTTCTGATTTACACCATCCACAGTTCTTTCAGTTTTTATTTCATGAATTTATGGGTCTCGCTGCTCCTCATAGCCTTGGGTGTCAAGAATTGGGAACCAGAGTCACAGTGAGGTTGAGATAACAAGGTGTAGAGCTGGATGAACACAGCAGGCCAAATAGCATCATAGGAGCAGGAAGGCTGACGTTTCAGGCCTAGACCCTGAGGTTGAGTTGTTTTCTGTTGATTCGGCATAAACTCTTTATCACTATTTCCAATGAGTCTGTTTATAAGCACTACAAACAAAAACTCAGATTTTAAGTTTGATAAACTTTACAGTCACTGCTGCATCAGACAATTACACACAACCTGGTTAATCATATGATGCAATTTCTTCAAATCTGGCCCTATGTAACATTCAAGCAGCAATATCCAGACTGTGTGAACTTGATCCACACAAGCACTACAAACAATAACCTCATGTACAGATGGGGATAGCTTAAACTAACAGTGATATATTCAATTAGCATATGAGTCCTTGTTTCCCTTCTAAGTTTAATAATAGCAAAACTTTCCCTTAAATTAGCATAAACCAACTCACGTGTCATAATGTGCTATTTCTGCCTACACAAGTGGGCTTTGTTAACAGACAGATCACACTTTGATTGAGTGATAAGAATTTTCTCATCTTAAACTGAAACTGACCACATGCAAATGTCCAGTCTCGAGCATACAATAGGAGAGCAAAGTACTGCAGAGGCTGAAAATCTGATGTACAGAGAATGATGGAAATATTCAGCTGAAAAAGCAGCGCTGTGGGGAGAGAAACAGTTTCACAGTCTGCAAGAGTTTTGATGAAGGGTCACCGATGTCTATGTCTATCTGCACTGACACTGCTGGGCAGGCTGAGCATTTCCAGAACTTCCTGCATTGTTTTAAACCCAGTAGCCAGCCTCTGAGAAGCACTAAGACTTCTAAGAGCTTCCTACTCAACTTCAGCAAGAAACCCAGCAGCAGTTGTGCTAGTGCTGGTTTGGCACAACATTCAATATGAATGTATGAAGAAAACATGAACAACTTGCCGAGCAAAAACTATGTCAAATTGATCATTTGTAAATCAGTCATTAATAAAAATGACCTTTAGAAAGTACCATGGCCTAGAGCTAACTAATCCTTTTTTGCTCTTCCAGTCAATAAGCAAAGCTAAAGACAGACTAACTCCAAATCTTGGGCACCAAGTAAAGGTAATGGGGACTAGGCCTCAGCTTAGCCCTTGTGTTCATCTCTGGTGGCACCCACTCTGAGCTAGCTTTGGAGAAATTTTTACAAGACTATTGATAAAAGCAGATTGCCCCTCCACCTGGAGCTTCCTCAAAACCCAGCCCAATGTATGGATATGTTTTTGGAGAGGGAGTGGATGACAGTAAAGATATGTGTGAACAGTTCTATACACACTATCACTCTTACACACACACACACACACACACACAGAGTCACTCCCTCACACTCACACAGAGTCATTCTTACACACCCACACACAATCATTCACACACTCATGTGGTCACACATGCACACTCTCACACACACTGAATCACTCTTACGCACATATACTCATGTAGTCACACACTTACACTCTCTTGTACACACACACTCACACTCTCACACACACATTCACACTCTCACACACACTGACACTCTCCATCACACACACACTGTCACACTCTCACACACACACTGTCACTCACACATACACTGACACTCTCCATCACACACACACTGTCACACTCTCACACACACACACTGTCACTCTCACACACACTGACACTCTCCATCACACACACACTGTCACACTCTCACACACACACTGTCACTCTCACACACACACACAGTTACTCTCCCTCATACACACACTGACATTCTCTCTCACACACACACACACACACACACACACACAGTTACTCTCTCACACACACTGACACTCTCATACGCACACTGTCACTCTCACAAACCCACTCTGTTACTGTCTCACACACACTGACACTCTCCATCACACACACAGACACACACAGACACACACACACACACACACACAGTCACTTTCCCTCACTCCTACATGTGTTTCCTTTCCCTCTCACCTCAGCTTTAGTGTAAAAGCCTAAACATCTCAACTTTCTCTTCCTAACTCTGCCCTATGTCCATCCTACTTTTCCATTGAACCTACAATGCACATTTGCCATTAATTTTCCATCCTTTTGATGTGAAGTACCTATAAACTGCCCAGTGATCATACACCTCTAATGATGGTTCTGTCAAATACCAATAACTCCTTTCTCTTGGATTTTGTACGTCAAGAACACAGCCAGGATTTTGTTATTAATTTTATAGCGTGTAAAATCCTGTTTCTATCTTTCTCCCCATCATCCTTTCATAGACTGCTCACCCTGTCAACCCTCCAGTGAACCAATCAGCAGCAACTGCAGGAGAGAAATAGTCAGGATGGAGGAGGGACTCCTCATCAATTCTATTTATAGGAATTACTTTTCCCAATTAATCCTTCCATGATTGTGTTTTGCTGGGTGTTTTGGGACAAATGTGTATTTTGAGTATTTGTGACTGCTGCAATCCATTACTGGGGAGCTGCTAATATTGGAAGGCAAAGGGGTGGCCAAGGGTGGACTACATCACCCAGAATGTACCCTGGTCACCAAAACAAATGGCCGCAGGGACTCAAGCTCTTGCTCCTGAATCTTGAACACTACCCCCTCAATGCATTAGATACTTGTTTATGAACACACTGAGGCCTCTAGAGAGACAGGTGTGCTAGGTGAGCTACATCAGAAGTGCTTTTCTGTATTCATCCTTAGTTCATTGATGCATATTTATTTGCCCTGCATTTGGACATGCAAGTGTGAAAGGCAAGAACATAGGATTGAGCTACAGTGAATAGTATTGTTAAAGCCTGCAGCCCCTGTTATGTTATGTCTTACAGTCAAGTGTATTTTTAAGGAACATGCCATCTCCACTGCATCATGGCATGTGACCTGAGGATCTAAAGGTGTCATACTCCATCATACCTTGGATCACTTGAAGCATGACACTCTACTGGAAGAATGCAGCTCTTTGTAACCTGAATAACTTAAAATTAACCCAGTCACTTACGTGCCTGAGGTATGTAATGTTTGTGTCTGATCATTGTGATAAATATATATTAGATTCTTGAATACCAAGGTATCCATGTCCACTATATTATGTTCTGAGGGATGATTTAAGGTGTGATACCCTGCTGGAGGCAAATTCACCACCTCCCACCCTCCACCACCCCCTGATCATGCAAATATACAAACAATTTACAGATTACTGAGAAATTCAACTCCCATCAAAGGCTCAGGCTGATTATATGAGTAACACCACCAAACTGAGGGAGTATCTCATACAGGCCTCGGTGTGTAACACATATATCCTTCCTCCTTCCTGGATGACAATTAGCAATCCCTCCATCTGGGGGACATCAGCAACAGGGTTTGGCTGCTTTGATAAAGATTGACAAACACCACAAGGATGGATTGAAAAATGGGAATGAAAACCTGGAACTCTTCTTCCCCCCCCCTCACCATTCCCCAAGCCCCCACCCCTCTAAAGGCTGGATAGTGTGGGTCGATGAGGTCAATCAGATGGGTAGGTTCTCATCAGGTAAGGCCACTAATGGAATATGCAGCCAATGGAGGGGAGGTGCAGATCAACCATGATTGAACGGAATAGCAAAGCAGGCTCGAGGGGCCGAATGGCCAGCTTCTATTACCTCTTCAGAAATGTGTGGAACTGAAAGCAATTTTGATTCCGTCAAAATTCCCATCATAGAGATATACCCAAGGTCGGGAAATGAGCTTGAATGATTACAAGATGAAGAGTGAGTGATATGATTCAGACAGACATATGCAGGTTGTAGGAGAAAGTTATCGAAAAGACGATTTGCTAAATGAGATAGCTGGCTTGAGATGTTGGTTCCAAGATATTTATCCAGCTGGAAAATCAGTAAACCTGTCCTACCTGTTTTATTCAGCCTGGGTTTGCACACAGTTCTCAGAACCAGTTGTTTAGGACGCTCTGTTTTTACTTTGCTGGTTCCTGGGCCTCCCCATCCAAGTTCTTTCACTTCAGAATTATACTTCTTAAAAGAGAAAACTCTGTGGAGACTGTTTTTCTTCCTGACCTTGGTTTTGTGAGGGATGGTCTGCTGGTCTCCAGGTGCCTCCTGGTTCTCGCCGAGTAACTGCTCCCCATTCCCTTCAGGAGAATCTTCTGCCTGAGGAGCACCAAGCTCCTTGGATTTTGTACATCCATCCTCTTTCTTTTCATCGCCTTTCCTTCTCCACAGGAAGTTGGTGATCTTCCCGAAGAAAGTTTGAGACTTTTTCCCTCTTTTCACATCCTTGCTCCTTTCCTTGCTGTCTTCCTTCACCACCCCTGTCTCAGTGCTCAAAGAGTTATTGACTGGAGGCAAGCCCTCATTGCCGTGTGTTAGGTTTTCTCGTTCAGTCTGCTTCCTTTCGCTCTCCCTGCCTGCTATCCCCAGCTCACGCAGCCCAGCTCCTTCTCGGCGGCTCAGGCTCCTCAATGGGATCTTTGTTGGAAGCGATCGCCTCTTCAGCTCCTTCCCGCTCAAATCAGCTTCTCTTACACTTAAGCTGCGCTTGATGTGGACTTCCACCACTCTGCAAGGTTTCAACCCACTCACGGTCACACCAAGAATATTCTCTGTGTGTCCAGGGTAGCCAGTGACACAATCTTCAGGCACTGGCTCCATTAGCTGAGTGTCGGAGATCCTTTGTTAAAAAAGAAATACATTATATGTGAAAAACTTACTTCGCGGCAATGAGCCAGACCCATACTGTGCTCACAACTTTTCAATTTTGCAGAAACAAATATTTTCTTTTGTTCCCCATCAGTAATTACAAGCACAACATCTGCCATAAAACAGTGCAAGCAGGTACTCAGAGAATATCCCTTGATGCATTGAAGGCTGTTTTATGTGCTAAATACAGCTAAAAATGGGTACATTAGAAAACCAAGGCATTTGAATCAGTGTGTCCAGGCAGTGAATGTGAGCAGAGATAGTAGGAACTGCAGATGCTGGAGAATCCGAGACAACAAGATGCAGGGCTGGATGAACACAGCAGGCCAAGCAGCATCATAGGAGCAGAAAGGCTGACGTTTCGGGCCTACACCCTTCATCAGAAGAGGGGGAGGGGAAGGGGGTTCTGAAATAAATAGGGAGAGAGGGGGAGGCAGATAGAAGATGGATAGAGGAGAGGATAGGTGGAGAGGAAACAAACAGGTCGAAGAGGCGGGGATGGAGCCAGTAAAGGTGAGTGTAGGTGGGGAGTTAGGGAGGGAGTGAATGTGAGCAGCCTGATTTTAAACAGTTGAAAACAACTGTTCTGTAGAGGGGTCACTGTGCTCAAAATATTAACTCTGCTATGACTCTCCACATGTACTGCCAGATCTACTGAGTTTGTCCTGCAATTTGTTTTTGTTTTAAAAGAATTAACCGGAATCACTAGTTGATGTTGTGTACGGGTTGCTGTTACTTAGAATATTAAAACACGTCTGACATTTAAAAGGTTTAAAATCCACTTATTCATGCCTTTACACCAAGAGAAAAGCTTAATTTTAGGAGGCCTCTCCAGAGCAGGTGCAGGTCCAGGTGCAACACGCAGCTGTTGGAATAGTTAAAGTTAGGCTGGGCGTTGTAGTGACAAGTCAGTTTCAGCACAAATGTATTATCCAACAAGTGTGAAAGGTCACAGAAACTCAAACTGCCAAGAGATATTATTTGTCATTGAATGTCCTTGATTCTTTTGCATTAGTTTACAGTCAATTTCATGCAATTTTCACTTATACAATGAATGTAACCAAAACCCTTAAACTTACTGTACAGATAACACGCATACAAATTGGTTCCTATGCCAACCGCTCTGGTAAAAGATTTCACCGTAACAGATTTCATCATAATAGATAGAAATTGTTCCCACTCAGGAAAGCGTCAAGAGGTCAAGGATTTGAAATAATTGGCATAAGCAAAAGTGACACGAGAGATATATTTGAAAACCCAGTGAGTGGTTAGGGTCTGGAAGGCACTGCCTGAGAGAATGCTGGAGCCAAGTTCAATCAAAGCATTGAGGAGGGAACGGGCTTGTTATCTGAGAAGGAGGTTTGTGCAGGGTTAACACGAGAAGGCAGGTGAATGGCACCAGATGAGATATTCATTCAGAAACATGATGGGCCAAATAGCTTTGTATGCTGTGATAACTGAATAACTTTGTGTGAGTATTTGATAACTTTGGTTAGGTTTCCGTGAGGGAGTTGTAGTGTTTGGGCACAACGACCTGGCTGTTGTGGTCAGTGATGAAAGAATAATGCTAACTGTTCATCACAGTAGCAGCTCTCAGATCTCTGTGCTTAACTCCAGAGCAAAACGGCATCATTCCTCTCAACCTAAATATAGGGCCATTACTTTCAAAACAGTTTAACACAGGATCACAGAAGGAGCAGCTCACCGTGTGCCTTGTTCAGGTGCTTCTGTCTCCACTGCCAGTCATAGGGCTGCATTCCTAATCCCCCTCTGATTGCATTTGCAGCTGGCAAATGAGTAAAAACCATTGGATGTTACCAGAGGGCTGAGAGGTGCAATGTGAGATGTAAATATTGACAGTTTACTGATTGGCCAGAGCAACTGTGCCCATTACTGCAAACTGTTCCCAGAAAGATTAAATTGCTAAAGCTTACCTGTATCAGTAGAGGCGTGCAGAACAAGCCCTTGATTGTAGAAAAGCTGTTCTCAGAGTACCAGAACTACGTACGATATATATGCACCTTATATCAAAGTTCAGACAATGAAAGAAATGTTCCCCCAAATGTGTGACCAGCCTGCATCCTTAAGTGGACTGATTTAGGATTAGTCACAGATATGTAATCAAGATAAAGATTCAATTAGATGTTCAGCTGACTGGTCTGTATTGTACTCGGTCTCCTGTAAATCAGCTGACATGAATTGCCTGACTCTGTTTATCAAACAAGGAAGCGGTCTACTTTCACCTCGCGATTTAGAACACTTCCTCAGCTAAGCAGCAGCCTTAAAAAGACAGGCCACAGTGAAGTGGGAGGGCAGAAGGAAGGAGGAACCTACATCACAGCTACACAGCACAACCACCTCCTTAACCCACTGTAAACATTAGCAAGGACAACTTGTATTTCACAACCTCAGGAAATCCCAGAGCAATTCTAGCCATTGTTGCTTGACTGAAAATCTAGGCACTGATGTGACGTAGGAAACAAACAGGCTTGAGGAGCTGAACAGCCTACATCTGGTCTTTATTGTTGTGTCTGAGTAAGTTAATTTGTGCGCAGAAAGCTCCCACACAGAGCAATGTGATAACAAACTGGGTATCTCATGTGTGAGATGAAGGGTAAATATGGAGCAGGACACTGTGGAGATAAGGCATGGGTCTTTGACATCCAATGAGCTCTGTCCTGACACGCAGGAAATCAGTGTGTTTCTGGATTGATGATGGGCACCTTGCCTCAATTCCCTGGTGTGGCAGTGCCAGCGTGTTCAGTCTTGTCTTTGACACAAAGTACTACTATGGAAACAAGCATTGGTGATTCAGATTGTACAGAAACAAACACATTCTCTGCAATGGAATTCTGAAGTATTCACGTCTCCTATAGGAGTCAGTGTCGATTCTTCTCCTTGGAAATGCAGGTCTTATTTGCCTCTTAAGAAAACTGGTGCCAAAACAGAAGAAAGAATCTATCCTGAAGAAAATTTCCAAAGTCAAATGCACCAGGGACCAGCCCTGGGGCTGATTTTGAGAACCAGAATCAGAGGGATGGCAGAGACCGGCAACCTGGCCAGGGAGAGGTGGGCACTGCCAGTGAGCTTCTCAGACTGGTCAGTGCCAACTCGATGGTGCAGAAGAATAGCAGCAGAACTGTAAGAAGGTCAATGACCCTCTCTGCTCTACCAGGGTAATACCACACTCTTCTCTCTGCTGCCTCACACTCACTCCTTCTCTGCTTCTGCACCCGACTCCCTCTGCTCTGTTACTCTCCCTGTTGAATGGAACAATTTCCCTCACTTGCTGTCACACTTCCCTCCCCAGCCTCCTACAGCATGCACTCTGCACTGCCTCCTTACTCCTCCTGGGACACCTCACCAGCTTTTCCCTTCACGCACCGGCACCGAAAGCTCTACCACCCACTCACTTCTCCCTCACTTGGCAGAATCTTTGCCATCGCGGGAGGAGGCTGGGACTGCCCTTACTGCCAAACAAGTACATATCACTCTACATGTCTCTGCCACTTTGCCATTAATGGTGGCACAGTAGTTAGCACTGCTGCCTCACAGCGCCAGGGATCCAGGTTCAATCCCACCCTCGGGTGCCTGCCTGTGTGGAGTTTGCACATTCTCCCCGTGTCTGCGTGGGTTTCCTCTGGGTGGTCCGGTTTCCTCCCACAGTCCAAAGACGTGCAGACTAGGTGGACTGGCCATGCTAAATTGCCCATAGTGTTCAGGGATGTGTAGATTAGGTGGGTTATAGAGGGATGGGTCTGGGTGGGATGCTCTAAGGGTCGGTGTGGACTTGTTGGGCCAAAGGGCCTGTTTCCACACTGTAGGGATTCTGATGATGAAATTCTGACGATGTGCAAGTTAGGGGGATTGGCCGTGCTAAACTGCCCACAGTGTCCAGGGATGTGCAGGCTACGTGGGTTAGCCATGGGACATGCAGGCTTACAGGGTTAGGATGGGGGCGCTGGGTCGGGGTGGAATACTTATCAGAGGGTTGGTGTGGATTTGATGGGCTTGCTTCCACACTGTAGGCGTTCTATGATTAACCGCGCTGTCACTCTCAATCATTACACACCTCTTCGAACAACTGGCTGTGACACCTTCTCTCTCTCTACCTTGTACAGTCAGCATCTCCACATTGTCTACAGAGGAACATCCAAATCCCCCAGAGCTGCCATCTGTGGATGAGAGTACTGAGGCCTCAGAGGAAGAATTGCCAAGGCTGCCTCCTGTCCCCTCCATCCATCTCAGATATTGACACCTCGGTGGGAGCGACAGTTCAGTGAACCCCTCACTGTCACAACTCCGCGGCTGGACAAGGTAGAAATGGCCCAGGCTGCTGGCACTGTAAGAGACCAGGTACCTGCTCAGTGCCAGGCAGGAGAGGACCCTGTGGTGTCAGTGATCAGGGACTTCTCCACACATACGCAGGCATGGATATGGGGCAGAATGGCCTTCATTGACCAGAGGCTGCAGCAGTGAAAGATGATACTATCTCTCTGCCTCCATGGACAGGCTGGCGGTGCCATGGAGAGCCTGGCCCAGCCCCCTCATGGTCTGCTGGAGAGGGGCAGGCACCGGTATTTCTATGCTCCGGCTAGCAGTCCTCAGGACCAAAGGCCTGGCAATGGGTGGCAGGAGGGTGGGAAACAGGGAACATTGAGCTCACTCCAGGTGCCCATTCTTCACAAGGAGCCAGGGCAGTGCCAGGTGTCACCCAGTTGAGAGTTTCAAACCAGGGAGAGTCAACCTGCTCCTGGCAAGAAGGCCCTCGCCATGTGGGGCCCAGCCAGACACAAGTTCCCCCAATGGATCACCAGAACAACCCCCCAGGGCCAGAAAGCCCCACTGCCGAGATGGCCCTGCCATCTGAATGCAGAACCAGGACGGGGAAAGGGAGGGAGATGGAAAACAAAACTTACTCAGGGCACTTCTGTGGTTCAGGTGACATAGCTTGGACGTGATTCTCAGTTTATTTATAAATGTTTGTCCTATGTGTGTTTGTTTGTCTCTCTTTGTAGAAACACACCCTAGCACCATCCAGGAACAAGTCCCCTTTCCTAGTGGCCTATCCCATTAAACCCACTTCCCAAAGTCTTCTCCGGACCTGTCTACATGAGGCTGCACCTGCCCATGTTTTCCGTTCGGCCCCTGGCATTGGGGGGGTGACCAAGCCTGGTGTGGTCACTCACTGCCCCATCAACCCCACAAACTCGCCTGAAGTTAGGCTGCTGCTGAGTGTGGAGAACCACTCCTATCCCCTCCTCTCACATTATCTCTTTCCCAGCCAGGTTTTATCAGAACTCCTCCTGCAGATTCTGTTGCCCCATCTTCACGACTGTACTGTGCCCTTCCCCACAGTCTGAAGACCCCAGTGTTGAAGACCAAGGCTTTGTATCTTGTCAATGGCTGTCCCATCCCTCTCTCTCTCTTTCACCTTGTTTTCTGTGAATGGACCAGACGAATAGACTGTGGCCCTTTGACTGACAAAACCAGGCAGCCCCAGATAAGATGTACCCAGCCCCCTGACTGATGTCTATACACCTCTCCGACTGTGTTAGCTGTACCCTCAGACTGGGCACTATAGAGCCAGAGAAGTGACCATGGCCAGGACTGGTATCAGAGTCTGACCATAACTTACCGACTTACTGAGGCAGGACCCCCTGACTGAGAGGTATGGACTGCAGTGACGTTCTCCCTGAGATAGGGCTGCCTGCTTGCTGCCGAACACAGTGTGTCAGCTGGCATATGAAGCAGTATGTGAGATTGCTGTAGCACACTGCCATACAGCAGGATGCCCAGCCCCTAGACTGAGGACCCCCAGCAGCAAGGTGAGCTGCCTGCTCCTGTAACTGCACCCATTGGCACAGCAGGGATGCTGTGAGCAGACGGGTAGGCACCAAGTGAGTGAGCCCTAAGAGAACAAGTAAACAGCCCTGAGATGCAGCCTGGTCCAGTCTGTGAACCCGGTGCCTATTTCTGTGCTCAGTGTCCCTGCTGCAGACTTCCAGACTTCTGCATGGCCTCAGAGTGGACTTCCAGCCTCGAGGTGAAGCCCAGCACAGTCTGGAGTCAAGGCCGGGCGTAGACTGGAGGCTGGATGCCAGCGTGAACTGGGTTGGAAGGACCACTGTTGTGAACTTGTCATATAATTAATCAGTGGACTCTGTAATGCCTGTATTTCTTTACTTTTCTTATTTTTATTTTCCTGAGAGCTTGAAATGAAGAATCTATATCTAGGTACCTTGGTACCTAAGAAGGTGCCGTAAGTGGTGATTTGTAAACTTTTCACTGTACTCATTTGAGTGCATGTGACAATAAAGCAAATTCAATTCATTTCAATTTGGTTCAATTCAATTCAGTTCATTCAATGCTGGTAACCAGTGCACTGTACAATACAAGTGTATGCATCCTGAGCACCCTGCCAGTGTATCAGAGAGATGCCGGGATAATTGTGAGGGGTTGCTGGATGTCACATGCCAATGTCAATGGAGGAGGGGTGAGTGCAATTGCTGGGGCATATTCATAGAATCTCTACAGTGCAGAAAGACTCCATTTGGCCCATCAAGTCTGCACCAACCCTCCAAATAGCACCCCACCCACATCCAGCCACCTGTCCTATCCCCATAACCTGCATTTACCATGACTAACCCACCTAGGCCTGCACATCCCTGGACACCATGGAGCAACTTAGCGTGGCCAATCCACCTAACTTGCGCATCTTTGGACTATGGGATCAGAGCACCCAGAGGAAACCCACAGACATGGGGAGAACTTACAAACTCCACACAGACAGTCATCCAAGTCCGGAATTGAACCGGGTCCCTGGTACTGAGAGACAGTAGCGCTAACCACTGAGCCACCGTGCTGCCCAATTCATAGCAGAACAGACCAGTTCTTGCATTAAGCTGGTAGATACTCCAGGCCCAAAGGGTAGAGCAATCATGGAGAAAGGGCAAGATGCAAATAGTGTGAAGGACAAGATGAAGATATGTCCAGCACAGGCAAAGCAATGTTTTCCGCACAAAAAAAAAACAGAAGGAAGCACAACAAGCAGTAAAACAAACTGGAAAACTGAGAGTACGTAACAACATAGAGGATCGAAATAAAGCTCTAAAGAGATCTTATAACCATCAAGTGGGTTCTGTCACACCCTGTAAGGGCAAAACTCTTTACTGCACTAGATGCTAGTGATGGTTTTGGCAAGTGAAGCTGGATGAAAGTAATAGATTCCTAATTACAATCTGGACACTATACAGATGGTTGTACAT